GGGGGGGGCAGGGTAAAGGTTCTGGGCTTATATAGTTAGTGGGTGGGTTGATCTCAACCGTTAGATCAATCTAGATCTACGGTTTGGATCTGATGGTCTTAAGTGGAACGGTGTCGTTTTGAGGGTAAAGGGTTTTGGGTTGGTCCGGGTGAAAACGGGTCGGGTTCCTCAGTGGGTTGTGGGGAAGTGATCTTGGCCGTTGATCAATCTGAGATCAACGGCCCAGATCACACTGGACTAAAACGGCGTCGTTTGGACGCCCTGGGTATCAGGTGGTCTGGACCGGGCAGGCCTGGGTTTTGGGCTGTTTGTTTGGGCCAATTTTGTCAAAATTGGCCCAAGTCCGGAAGGGGTCTTTTCTTTTTCTTTTCTTTCTCTTTTTTTTTATTTAAAAACAAAACTAAGCAAAAAATCAAATTAAAAAAATTAAATACACACTCAATACAATTATTCACACACACTAAAATATTTCAAAACAGGTAAAATCAAACAAATCAAAATCACGGACGAAGATGCCTATTTATGATTTTCTTTTTTTTAACGACCGGATTACGGTTCGAATTACGCCTGACTACATTTTGTATTTTAAATAAATAAATAAGAAAAAATAAAAATGGGCAAAAGTCACAAATAAATCAACAAAGTGCCGCACAGAAATCCGAAAATTGTACAGCAGGGCCAATTATTATTTTTTATTTCTTTTGGAGCGATTGTCGTGCGAAACAAAAATCACGTGCTCACAGTAGTCATGTCAGTTGTCATTTGAATGCAAATTCTCTTCATTGTTGTCATTCTCTTTCTTTAAAGCTGTAACTGAGGCTCTAAACCAGACTTGGACTGTTCCAACATATCATAGAGATAATACTTTGATTCTCATAAGGATTTCCTAATTGTTTTTGATGTGTTTAAAATCCTTTGCGAGGAAAATTATAATCAGGAATACATTATTTAAGGGTCTATATCTGTCAGTGAGTTTGTGTTACCTGTAGTAACTTGTGCATGGGAGATAATCTTCTATGTGGTTACTGGGTAGAGCCTTATCTTGTAATTGGAAAGGTATTGTTTGGCATGGAAGTTTCTTTTTTTCATATGCTTTCTCTATTGCTGGTAATGATGAGCTCTTATCAACTGCATGGACGGACTTCACGAGATAGGAACTTTAGTGCCTTTACGAGTAGATCAGTAGAGGCTAGAGCTGTGAACTACTTTGTTTAATTTTAACCTATGGAATACGAGCTTGATTATTCTCGCAAGCTCAGTTATGAATTTGTACCACTTACATAGATTAGTTGATTTTACATGTTATGTAAACTCCAATTAGTAGCAATCAAGTCGTATCCTAAATCTTCACGTTCTACACTAGATCACTGTTATCAAACAATTTCAGGCAAAAATCTGATATAGTCTCGTCACTATCTTATAAACTACTTTTGCAATAAAATACTTATAAAAACTATTTCTGCACTAGAAAAGAAGTTTCTAGCGTAGCCCCTGAGCGTAAAAAGTTATGATAAACGTTTTCTATGTTTAATTAATACAAATGCAAATCAGGAGCTTACTTATAGGAATATTTGTAATTTAGAATGCGCTTTCTCTGCTCCCAGAGTTCCTCTTCAAGTTTCTCATTGAAATTTGTTTTCTTTTGTTAAAGACAGGTCTTATGTAGCTGCTGCACATGATGAGGAAGCAACTGCCAGGACAGCTGCCGTAAATGCTGATACTGGAGCTCCAACCATGTACTATTTTCCTGTGGATAGTTCTATTACTCAATAAGTTTAGATTGTCAAAACTTGAAACAAATTAACAGGATGTTTGTATCACTCTTTCAGTCTTTCTGATTGGACTATAGAATTTAAGTGTTCCTTACTATGGAAATAGAAGTCCTTTAATTTTATTGACTACTGGAGATAATTATTGAAGAAGAATCACACTGTAGAGTTATCTTTTAAGTAAAAGGTCGAAGTCATTGGCGCTAAAAATTTAAGTCAATACCATTATTTTGAACTCTGCATCCTTTTGTGTATTGTGCTTTTCTTTTGGATAGGTGTCCTTTCACTTGCATTTCTCATTTCAAAAACCTCCCTAGTGTATAGGTTCCTCAAGAACTGGAGTTTGGATTTTGGAATCAGATGCATTGGTACATAGGGTTTCTTACGCACATAGCAGTCAGTAAAAATAAAAAGGCTGATTGCTACAACATCTGCTATTTTTTTCCCATGAATTCCTGGTTACTTATGGTAGATGATAACTAGAAATGCATTTCTAAGAACAACAGATGTCCCTTGTAAAAAAAAAAAAAAAAAAAAAAAAAAAAAAAAAGAACAACAGATGTCTACTTTTGAGAAGGATGTGACCTAGATAGTAATCAGATATTCAGACTCTTCAAATAATTACTTCAATTGTCCCTTATCAAAAAAATAAGTACTTCAATTCTCATTAAATATCATCGTTCAGTTTTTGTTCAAGATGTTACCTCATAGTTGGCCTCCAACTGTTCCATCTAATACATTTTGTACTATAAAAAAAAGATTTAAAGTTAATTGGACACTTGAATTTTACAAGGTAACAAGTGTTTGTCGTGAGAATAGTTTGTTTATATGCTTCTTGATTGCCTTCCCTGAGAAAGAATGATTATACTGATCTTGGTTAATTAGACGAGCTGCTTAAGCTCTTATTTCATAGTTGTACATTTGACATGAACATCCACAGCTTGACTTGCATAATTTCTGTCAGACATGGTGACTGAGTGATCATCTAGGCTCACCGCATTCTGATTAAATTTTTTCTGCATTCAGATTTGATAAAATCATCGCAAAGGAGATACCTGCCTCTGTAGTATATGAGGATGAAAAAGTTCTTGCTTTTCGCGACATCAATCCTCAAGCTCCCGTTCATGTTCTAGTTATCCCGAAGTCGAGGGATGGATTAACAGAGCTTGGAAAGGTGGTGTTTTTTTCTTCATCTACTTTTCTGATAATATCATTACTGTGAGAACACATTCCCTGCCTAGTTTCAAGGAATGTGCATCTTGACTTTCGGTATACCACAAATCACAAATGGTCTCTACTAAAATTTGGGGTGTGAGAATCTAAACTTATTGTCCCACATCAGAAATAGATGACCACAATATCTCCATAAGTTGATATCCCTTTTTTGTACTGGCTTTTGCCCCTGTAATTGAGATATATAGAGTCCTGTTTGTTAAGACAAGACACATATTTTGGATGTAAAATGCAGCCACCTTGCATTGATTTTTGCATGATATTATGCAGTGGTGGCTCTTGTATGTGAAAAGTGCTTGTAGTTTGCAGTGATGATTTTACTGAATAAAGAATAGAAGTATTTAGGGAAAGAGTGTAATCTAGGGGTTGTGAACAACCTTATAGGTTAGCAACTTAGCAGTTGTCATCCGGAAAAAAGTCAATTTTGCTGATGTTCATTTCTGTGCCATTTCCTCTGGTAATTGATGTCTTGCAACTGGTTCTGTTCCAATCTTTGAAGGCTGAACAAAGACATGAAGATATATTGGGTCACCTCCTTTATGCTGCCAAGATAGTAGCGGAGAAAGAAGGCATTGTCGATGGCTTTCGTGTTGTCATTAATAGTGGTGCCTCTGCATGTAAGTCTATCTCCCTTCAAATACTCCCCCACTCTCCTCCAAACATGTGAACCTCAGTGCTAAAAGGGGAATTTTCTGTATGAAACAATGAAGAGAATACCATGCTATTTACATCTCATATGCATCTTAAGTTTTGTTTGCATCTTTAGGAATCCAAAAAAGCATAACAGCACTTACTGAAGAAAGAAAAAAAAGTACTTAGAGTTACTGAAGTAATTACTTATTCTCTCTCTCTCGCATAGGTCAATCCGTGTACCATCTTCACTTGCACGTACTTGGTGGGAGACAGCTGAAATGGCCCCCCGGTTAGAATCAAGCTTGGCTGCCTGCAAGTTTTTCATTTCTCCGCATTGATGTAAACATCGCATGTAAACTGATGTTCAACTTCTGTGGCCTGCCATTATTTAAAGTACTATTGTTAAAAATGATTCAAGTATGTATATTTGGTGAATGACACAGACATTTTTCTTCATTGCATGGATTTTGTGAAGGATTCCGACTGTTTTCCTTCTCCATAATGCGGTTTATTTCTGCTGTTGGTATTAATCTATGTATGTGCTATGCTGAACCCCTATTCTGCATGATTTATTTCTCAAAGCTCCTTCTTGAAGTAGCTAGACATTTGGTTCTCCCATTTTAGAATAGCCATAAAGAACGAAGTATTAAACATTCAATTCCAAGCAAAGACAAAAAATACTATGTGATTTCTTCCCGAGTAACTGCTACCCAGTGGAATAATCGAGGAGCGTTTGAGCTGATTTGGACGCTACTATTGGCATCAAACAAAAACATCGAATTCCCAAAGTTGAATACAAGGCATTGATAATCCTTTGTTTCTCCAAGTTGTAACTACAGTCAGACCTCATCATTCTTATATAACAGTCATTTATTATAAAGCCAAGGATTTGTCGGAACCAATTGTTTATGCTATGTTATAATATATGTCCTCTATAACAACACTTCAGTATAACATCAAAAAAATATCGGAACAAACGCGACTGTTAGAGAGGAGTTTGACTGTATTTGTCAATCATTTCGGTTGAATACTTGTATACTTGAGAAAACCTGTAAGCACCATCTGATTTTCTTTATGAGCATGTTTGGAAAAACATAGGAATTAGTTTTGGGTGTAATTACACAACTTCGCAGGTTTGTCTGGCCAAGTAATTACTTGGTTGGCAAGAAATTGGGTGTAATTGGAGAGGTGTAATTACACTCTCCAATTCTCAAAGGTGAGGTGAGAATTGGTGGTAATTACAAGGTTATTTTTTAATTTATTTCCTTTTTGTGTTTATTTTAAATTTGTTTTCTTTATAAATATTTATCTCCATTATTTTTTTATTTTTTATTTTTACTTTCTAATTTCTTTTTAAATTTTAAAAAATATCTTTTTATATATTATTTATTTATTATTTCTCTACCTTTACTTCTTGTGATTCCATATAATTGCTCGTATATTATATTTTCTTTATTTAGCGTAACTACGTTATTATTCTAGTTTTTGAAATTACTCATCCTAATATTAGACATAATGAGTCACTAACAAGCTGTGCATATAATGAGTGATGTCATTAAAATAGAGTTTCATTGTTGAATGAGGTTATAAACTTATTATGTTTCCTTATTTTAAGTTGTATTGGAACTTATTTTTATTATGTTGGAATTTGATATATGTTAAATTTTTTTTTTTTTTGGTTTTTTTTTTTTTTTTGGATTTTGAAATTGTGTTATATTTATGGTTCCAATTTACTTATTTTAGTAGTATTGGCTTGTTATTTCACATTGCATGTTGTTCATTTTTTAGTTAGAATTTAGAGAAAATGCATAAAGACCCCATTCAACTTGTCATGAAATATAATGTTATTTCACTAGATTTTTCCATTGAATTGAACACTGTTTTTTTCTTGGTTTTTATGTAATGCTTTTTTTCTGAATTTTCAGTGGGGAATGAATTGATATTTAGAATTCTTGAATTGAGGAGAAAAGATAGGAAGATGACAAGGACATATATAATGTGCTATGAAAATTAGATAGAGGAAAGACAGTTTGTTGAGTGTCGTCCATGTTAATTACGTGGCTTACTAATAAAGCGCGTGTTTCCCACTCAAATTAATATAGCTAGGCCAGCGCTTAGGAAGGAGTAAATAAATACAACTGTTTTAACAATAGTGGGGTGTTAGGACACCCGTAAAGTTTAGGGGTGTAAATAATTTTTCATGACAAGTTGAATGGTCTTTATTGATTAATTTTGTCGAATATTTGCATAATGTTATGACATTATATTTATAAATATTAATTTATTTTATCAAACATGCATTCCATGATATTCTTACAAAAAAATATTTTTAGTTGTTATAATTAATTAAATTAAATATTATTAATTTTGAAAATATATATTAATTATTTTTACAATTAGTTATTAATATATGATTACTAATTAGTGTATATTCAAAAAAAATACAACAACAACAACAACGACTCAGTATAATCTCACAGGTGAGGTCTGGGAGGGTAATATGTACGCAGACCTTACCCCTACCCCGAAGGGTAGAGAGGCTGTTTCCAGGAGACCCTCGGCTCAAAAAAGCAACAGGAACCGATATATTAGTACCATAAAAATGCATAATAAAATAACCACAATATAAGAGATATTAAATACAGAATACGAAATACGAAATATATGGCTGGTATAGTAAAACTAGCAAGTAAAGCCCTACATCAATAGACGACCAATGACATTCTTAGTCTAACTTCTTGTAAGCACGTGATTTTTGCCCTATATGAGAATTACTCCCAAAAAATTCAAAATAAAATGATTTTCCTTGGTGTGCAATTTTGAGAATTTTGTGACATTTTTGGATAATTATTTGTATTTGTCTGTGCATGTTTATTTGTTAAATTAATAAAAAATACAAAAATATGTCACATTTTGCATGTAGGATTTAATTCTACAATTGTTAGTAATTAAGTTTGTTTTACAAAAATTGAAAATTACAAAAAATAGGCATCTTTTGTATTTTTAGCATTTAATGTCCAAATGTACAATTTTATGCTTAATTATTACTTAATTGTGCGTTAATTGTTATTGGGAGTTAATTTGCGCTTTTATAACTTAATTTAGTTCTTAATAATAATTTAAGTATTTTTATAATTTAGTTTTAGAAAAATAAAGGAAGAAAAAAGGGCAAAAATACAAAGAAAAATCGGATTGGGCCACTTCTTCAATTTCAAGCCACAGGCCCAAAAAATGGCCCAACCTTCCCTATGACCCGGTTCATTCCAAACAGGGTCGACCCAGTCCAGTACCAACAACCCAACTCCCCCTCTTCATTTTCATTTTTCATTTTTACAAAACAAAAACAAAAAAAAACCTAGACTAAACTCACCCCCCCTCTCTTTCTCTCTTCTCCTTCTTCTCCAAAAGAGCTCAAAGCCCCTCCCATAGCTGCCCCTCTCTCATTCCCTTCATCTCCATGCCACACACACAACCACGTCGACAACACACACACACACACAACCACGGCGACGTAACACACAC